AATCAGAGTACGAAACCCATCCACCTGCAGAGAGATGTAAGACAGGGTGACTTTATATGTCAGAAACTCTCCACTACTGCATTGGAAGACGTTTACAAGCTACTGGATTGAAAATAATACGGTATAATAACTGGTATTTATAAGAATACGGTATTAACATCAATGGTGAGTACATTACTCACCTTTGATTTGCCGACGATATAGTCATTACGGCAGTATTATCGGAGGACTTAAGTACTACGCTCAATATCCTCAATAGTGCCTCCCAACGGATAGGTGTTAAGATGAACATGGATAAGACAAAAATCATGTGTAACGTCCATGTAAAACCTAAGCTGTTAGTTGTTTGGAGCACTAAGCTCGAAGTTGTTGACTAATATGTTAACCTGGGACAAATAGTCCGACTAAGTAAGTCAAACTTCGACCGAGAGATCAATCGACGGATTCAACTCGGCTGGGCAGCATTCGGGAAATTACGACACGTCTTTTCGTCAGGTGTAGCCCAAAACTTAAAAACGATACTGTACAACCAGTTGCCAGTGATCTGAGATGTGGTCTTTCACTGCTGGCCGTATCAGGAAGTAGGGTCGCTCAACGAGCTATGCAGAGGGCTATGCTGGGAGTTTCATTGCGTGATAAACTTAGAAATGAGGATATCCGCAGTAGAACCAGAGTGACCTACATAGCCCAACGGATTAGTAAGCTGAAGTGGAAATTAGCCAACATATACCTCGAAAAACCGACAACAGCAGCCTCGTACCGGTAGGTGAAGTGTAGGGCGACCCCCCCACTAGATGGAATGACGACCTAGTAAGCCATGCAGGAAGTTTATGGATGGACTTGCTTTATGACCTTTCTTGGGGGGGGGGGGCTATGTTCAGCAGTGGACTTGTGAAGGGCTGTAATGACGATGATGATGACATTGCTACAAAACTCGCGACACCCTCCACACCACTGTGTTCCTAGTGTACCGACTACCACCAGCGATCTTTCCGGACCGATACCACTTGGCGACCTTCAAAAAAAAAGCCTACTCTTTTTTTGCACCTGCGATACCCCTGGTATTGCAGTCGTTCATGGGCGGCTGTCGACACTTACCATCACGTGAGCATGCGGCTCAACTGATATACTGTTTTTTACGACCGCCTAGAGATGGGATGGTGTAATGGATTCTCTAACGCCGCCACACGGGAAACAGTCAAAATAAATTTAATTGAATATTTAAGTAACTGCATGTTTACAAGATAATGGGACCAGGATTAAGAAAGGAATACATCGGTGGGTTGGTCACGTAGAAAGAATGAATGAGAAAAGAGTAACAAAGCAAATTTATGTTGCAGAAGTGAACGGCAGAGACGCCCTAGACGAAAGTTTATCAAAGAAATTGGCGAAGATGGGTCACATTAAATGTATCCTTAATCACCGATCACATATGCGTAAGTATATGGTTGTGAGGTAGATGAAAGAGGTATGTCCGAATCATGCCAAATGGAAGTCTTCAGTCTCTGTCTACCTCTCTATGACGTACATGAATGTTTATGTTTGCATTATTAAATAACTAATAAAGCGCTAAACTTCCGTTATTAATGTTAATTTGTAGGATTCATTGACCATGTCCTACTTAGAATTTGATTTATAATCTGTACTATACGTTAATTGGGACATATCAGAAATGGGCGTTTCGAAACCACTCAAATTAAAAAACAAAACAAATTTTACATATTAGTACGATGTTGAAAAAGTGTAGGCGTAGCCTTTGTTTCAAAACTGTGACGAAAATTTAATTCAGAACGTTTGAATAAGTCATTAGAACCTTGCTTCGGACTCTAATGATTAGTTCTGCCATATGCTAATTTACATTTTGATTACATTTTTTTAAGTGGAAGGACTCTTTTTCTGTCTAAGAGTCCAGAGTAGGTATGTACCACCCATTTACCTATATTTGCTTACAAATAGCAGCGCAGGCACTGCAATGTTTTTTTTATATGATAACCGTGACAAGCGAGCACACAGTCCACCTGATGGTAAGTGGTTGCTGTGGCCCATAGACATCTATATACATTCTCGTTTGCGTATAAAATGCAGATGCGTTGTCAGCCGTGTGGACTAAGATGGAATGCCTCTTTTGCAGTAAAAAGGGTCTCCGGTTTACAGTTTCGTTTGGTGTCACCAAACGAAACACAGCAGTGTTAAGCTGCTATTTTACGCTGGTCTTCTGTGAGAGCGTGGTCGTCCCCCGGTCGAGTCGACCCATATGTGCTACAACCGTACTATTGATATAGCTGTAGCATGGCTCTACCACGTATATATGTTCTATTCTAAAAGCTATGGACTGCCAGTTTACTTACAGGCTGAGAGGGATTCCATCTGAATCAGAGGGTGACATCCTTAGTCACAGTAGGACTTGGCTGCAGGTATTCATAGGCCGCAGTAGCCACTTACCATCAGGTGAACTGTACATACGTTCAGCTTTTTTTTAAATTAAGAGTCCGGTGGACAATTAAGCAGAGTATCCATCTGATGGTAAGTGAATGATTTGGCCCATAGACACTTACAACTATCCCAATAAGTGTGGATAGTGAATACTCCTAATTTCGCCCACCTTCAATATGTCGTCAATTTTATTGATATATTTTCATCTACTACACTTATTTTGTTTGTTTTTCTCATTCATTCTTACGTGTCGAAGCCATCGAAACATTTCTCTCCTAATCATGGTCATAAAATGCAAACAACACTTTCCTCGTATCAACACATTTTTAAAGCTAATGCTTGTATCACATAATATTTTATTACTTAAAATTATTTTTTAAATATTTTGACGTAATTGAAAAAATATTTTAATATATCATAGTAAAAGATTAATAAGTTTAAAAAAACATATACGTATTATTATACAGTCCTACTCCCCACGGTATAGTGTCAAGAACTCTGACTGTGTTTTCTTGCTGAATGTCTGTACTTATGGCCTTTGGGTGAGAAAAGAATCATCCCTCTTATCACCAGCGTCTTTAAGGTATAGTCATACAGTTTCTTTAAGAACCTTACTTAACACGTATGGACTACACGCACTGATAGTGCCTACAGTAAATGCACAAATATGAAGTCATTTCTCAGAGACTCATACTTGCGTCATTTACATAGTTCAAACCATCCCGCAGCCCCGGCTCTAAAACAAGGTAGCTATGAAGTGATATTTCTAATGTAAATCAAAAGCCGTTCTGTTAAATTGTGATTTCTTATAGAATTATGGTGACAAAAGTCCACATGATGGTAGGTTAAGGCTGCAGCCTATAAACATCTACATTCATCCCCAATTCAGTATCAAAATGCACATTGCCACCCCTGTGGACTAAAATGGAATGCCTCTTTTCCGTTAAAAAAGGATCTCCGATCCGAGAGCGTGTTCCTTCCCCGGTCGAGCCGACCCATTCGTGCTACAACCATAATATAGCTGCAGCGTGGCTCTTTTTTTTAAATGTTACCTCCACACTAGGATTTTGTCCTGTATCGGGGGGTCAGTTTACATACACAGATTTCACAAAGACGAACATCCAGACCCAGAACAATTATTTGTAGACCAATCCATATAATAAGGTTAAACAAATAACTTACATAAAAACAAAATATTTATTTAAAATTTCGTAATAAAATAAATTAATAATTCATTTATTGAACACACGAAAATCATCGGCGCTCATAATAATCAATGCGTATTGCTCAAGTTCTTTTAATTTCTTTTTATTTAGGACACGATGTTAATCGATTTAGCGATGGCCCAGCGACGAATAAAAATGTTATAAATTCTTATGTTTACTTGATCGTCGTCCGATTAGCACTTTCCGGGCTTAATCGCACCATGAACCTTGACACGCAAACTCAGCGGAGTTAAAAATAATCGCCGCTTTATGCTGGGTCATTGAAAGTTTACGAACTAAAAGCTGTAAAACATTTAAAGTTTATAATATTTGGTTTTTCAATTATTCATTTATTCATTGCAGAATTGCCTTTTGATTTACTGCCAATCATACGGGGGTGAGGTAACGTTTTTAAAAGTTTTATACTCAGAGCGTTTATTTTCCTTCGTAGCCGTAAAGTTTTCTTTTAAAATATGCATATATAATTAAAAGCTTTATTTTAATTTTAATTAATAATGAATCATAGGTTAGGCTAGAATACAAAAAATGTTGAAAATTTTAAAAGGGCGGGTAGGTTAGGTTTACATACCCCACCGCGACTAATCGCGAAATATCGTGAACTAAGAGAAAAAAATTGGCTGGCCCGAGGTGATGGGCTAGCCCAAGGTGGGTTGCATGAGAGGGGTGGCCTCTCCCCCCTCCTGCCACAGCCGAGGTGGAGACGCGGGGAAAGAGGTGTGTTGGTATGGCGATGTGCCACTCGCCCTCTGTTCCGTGACTTTGGCGGCGCTTCCGTTAATCTGATGGTGATGCGGCGGCGGGGGTAGGGGAGTGTCAGTAATGCGAGGCACTACTCTCCCTATCCTCCGCGGCTGAAACTTTGTTGACGAAGCCATAGACTAGACCCACCGTTGGAGTCAGGAAGGCTGGTGCTTACGAATGCTCGACTTTCCTGGCCCCATGTCCACCACGTACCGGGCTCAGAAAGGGGAGGGGCACTGCATAGGAGTTAAACGACGCGAAGGAAGACTCAGATCCAATGCCTCTCAGCCTGTATTTATACTAGCTAATTTCCCTATATCCTTCACACTGGACCACAGCTGTGCACGCACTGCTATTTGGCTCTTAACAGAAACTCAGGAGAATTATGCGGCTGTGTTTTGTTTCGATTTGTGTTATGTTCTTTAATTCATAATACTTTGTGATAAACATCTGTTAACAATTTGAGAAGTTGCGTATTTTAGAGGCGTTACCTACGTAACGTTACAAGCTTGCCAAGTTTTCGCTTAGTATTTGACTTGTTAAATGGCTGATGGAAGTTGGATGTGACGAGTGATATTGGATCAAATGTTGACCACGTACCTGGGGGGAGACTCCCAACATCTTCAGGCTTGGCGGCACGTTGGCGAGTTGTGTTCGAGGCAGCGAGATGTGACCGAAGTTGACTGTGAACGCCTCACACCACACCGCGAAGTGGCCAATATCGAATACTGTCAGCTCCTAAGAAATATAATTTAAAATTAAAAATTTTGTACAACCGACTTCAATATAAATGATTAAGAATAAACTCAAAAAATAATTGGTCAAACTTTGATCAAATTTATTTGGAACCACATGAAAAGTACCAGCTTCCAAATAAAAAGAGAATCATCGAAATCTGTTCACCCAGAAAATAGTAATGAGGTAAGACACATAAAAAAACAAAGAAAAAACAGTCGAATTGAGTACCGTCTTCTTTTTGAAAACGGTTGATAAAAAGAAAATTTTACAAAACTTGAAAAGTCAAGTTTTATTCGACATGTGTATCCCGTTGGTGGGGTTCAAGGTAATCTACACCCCATTTTGTCACGTGGCGTGGGTGTCGTAAAAGGTTACTATGGGAAATTTCAAAAAAATATAATAGCTGCCAATAGATGGCACTACGTTACGAGAGCCGTGGTAGGTCAGGGGCTAAGTGCTCGCTGTAAACTTCGCAGTACGCGAGCAACCCTGATTCGATCCCCACCGGCACTGACTGATACGGAGAAATAAGACTTACTTATCTTCACGCACAATCCCTGACGGGGTAGCCAGAGAGAACAGATCGCCAAGTGTCACGATCCTTACATATCTCTTTCGCTTCTTTCAGATTCATTATCTTCTTCATACATGCACGTCTAGGTATCCGAGTACTCTTGACCCTACCCTCTTCGAGCAATTTGCTCACATGGTCTTCGAAAGTTAGTCTCGGTCTACCTCGACACCTTTTAATATTAACTTTCGCGCTATATATTTTCTTCACCATTCGGTCTTCACTCATTCGCTCAACGTGCCCAAACCACCGAAGCACGCCCTTATCAATTTTTGTGATAAGGTCATCTTTCAAACCTGCCATATTGCGAATCTCTTCGTTTCGCTTTCGGTCGGCCATAGTAACGCCGCACATTTTACGAAGAGATCGCATCTCCACTGCATTCAACTTACTTTTATGCTTCTTCTGGCATACCCAGGTTTCGCTGCCATATAACAAAGTCGGTACCAACACTGCGTTATGTATTGCAAGGCGTGCACTCTTCGCTACGCCTTGCCTTTAAGAAAGAAGAAGAGAAATAAGAAAAAAAAATATTTCGAAGACATGTGAACTTCGTCAACACGCATCGGCGCATAGCAGCGGACATTTTATTGCCTTGAAACCCTCTCAGAAATGAGGGGACGCCTGTGCTTAGCTGTGGGTTAGTTAAAGTTACAGCCTATATACGACATGCTGTAACTTTAACTCAAGTTTTACGCAGGAAATAGAGTGAATGGGGCTCTACACGCTATTGTGAGGAGTCAGAATGTGTCAACTAAGGCACGTATGGCAATTCATAATGCTGTGTTAGTACCTACTTTAATGTATGGTAGTGAAAGTTGGGTCTGGCAGAAGAAGCATGAGAGTAGAATAAATGCTGTAGAAATGCGTTCCTTAAGGAGTATGCTAGGGCTGAATCTGAATGACAGGGTGAGAAATAGTGTAATAAGAGAAAAGTGTGGTTTGCAAGATGACGTTGTGACAAGGATTAAGAAAGGAATGCTTCGGTGGTTTGGTCACGTAGAAAGAATGAACGAGGAAAGAGTGACAAAGCAAATTTATGTTGCAGAAGTGAACGGCAGGGTCGGGAAGGGACGCCCTAGACGAAGGTTTATCGACCAAATCGGCGATACATTAAAAATGGGCCAGATTAGGAGTACCCTTAACCGACGAGCGTGTATGCGTAGATATATGGATGTAGAAGAGGCGAGAGAGGTGTGTCAGGATCGCGCCAAATGGAAGTCCGTAGTCTCTGCCTACCCCTCTGGGTGACAGGCGTGAGTGTTTATCTATGTATGTATGTATGTAAGTTTTACGTTACGATTACCGTGTATGTGTAACTAAACTACTCAAATGCGGTGGCCTATCCGCTTGCCAAGCGTGGGAACTGTGGTCGTATGTTCAGCAGTAAACTTTTGATAGACTGTAACGGTAACGGTTGAGCGTAAAACTTCAACACAATCAGCGTTCGTGTAGAATTGACTCTTAAAAATTATAAACTTCTTCTTCCATAGCCACAGGCTGCATTGACGACTGCAGTGCCAGACGTTCGGCTAGTCTCCACGCCTTCGTTGTTGACTTACCACGAATTCGAACCAAACGGTTTGCTGCATCGTTCATCATGCGTACAGCAAAGGAGTGGAATAAGTTGCCAGCATCTGTCTTTCCAACCGATTACAGTGCCTTCAAGGCAAGAGTGAATAGGCCTTTGTTAAGTCAGTGCGCTTCACCATCCTAGGTTACATCACCACTTACCATTATTTGGGATTGTAGTTAAGTGCTGGCTTAAAATAATATTTTTTTTAAAAAGGCAGCAGCTTCGAAGGTCATCAATCCACCTGCTTTGCATGATGATTAAGGCAAATTATCCCTACAACGAGAGATACTCATGATGGTCTTATGATACTTGACCTTTTAATAATTTTAAGTAGATACGAAGTAGAAAACGCCAATTACGAAACGTCATATGCGCCAGTACAGTGGGTACCCAATGCCGTCGTTTTATCTTGAATAATTCAACGCAACTGCATATTATCAATTACAAGGACAGTTACAATTACAATTATTCCTGGCCGATACGACTTAGGGACCTTCAGAAAACGAGCTTACTCTTTTTTTAAAAGCCGGCAATGCATCTGCAGATCCCCTGGTGTTGCAGTTGTTTGTGGGTGGCGGTCGACACTTACCATCAGGTGAGCCGCATCGTTTACCCTATCTTCTATAAAAAAAGGAAAACCTGCAGAAGACCGCGCGACGACCGCACCATGTCTCCTATCTTTGTGTACAACTTTATATTTAATCTGCTCACCCCAGGCAGCGTCAGGACGATGGTCTTCTTGTCGTATTTGCGCAGCGGCGTCTCTTTCCCATTCTCATCGGGGATACGGATGCCCTGTGGCGACGGCTTGTCGCCACGACCCACCCAGAACTTTGCATCTGTAACAATACATTTTGTTATTATTAAATATTTCTATCATCATCATCATTATCATCATTACTGCCCATTACAAGCCTACTGCTGAACATAGGCCTCCCCCAAAGAATGCTACAAAGTACGGTCCTGAGCCACCTGGTCAATCGAGCTTCTCAATCAGCTTAGCGATCCATTTTATTTATTTATTCATTTATTGAACATTAAATAACTTTTTGATATTCATGTACTTCATTAAAACATTACATATACAAAAATAGCAACGGGCTCTTTCAAAATATAATTTGATTTCGAATAATTAATTCGTCACACTAGTCAGTTTTATTGCGAAGCGATATAATCACACACGAGAGCAACTCATTTGAATTTGTCCTAAAAAGTTTTTTATTTTTGTGAAATTGCATCACACAATTATCGCGGAAATATGACATAATGCTGTGTGCCACGCAGCTATATTATGGTTGTAGCACGAATGGGACAGTTCGACTGGAGTAGGACCACTTTTCACAGAATACCAGCGTAAAATAGCAGCTCAATTCTAATGCGTTTCGATAATGAGTGAAGAGAACCGGAGACCCTTTTTACTGGAAACAAGTCAATCGATCTTAGTCCTCGGGGTAAACAACGCATCTGCATTTTCATTCTACATCGAGGATTGATGTAGACGGTGTTCTCGTTTGTCACGCTCACGCGATATAAGAAAATTTGTCCCATACAGCTAATAGCGCCTGGTCGTAAGTTCCCCCAACCTAAATAGACGTACAAGTGAATCCCGAATACAATTAATTAATCATTCGCCACGGCAGGTGCTCGCAACAGTCATGTAAATGTGAACGATCCATACGCCTGCGATTAACAACCACAATACGAGGCAATTAACAACCGTTAAAGACCTGGTCACGGTCCGAAACGTTGCGAAATGAAGATGTAAAACTGCTGAGCAAAATTATGTTTATTGCATAAATATAGAAATAGAAATCTTTTTAACAATGATAGATCATAAATAATACTTATTGAAAGTCACTCTTATGCTGCATTTACCACCGGTTCGGTAAATACCTCTGTCTTAAGAAAAACCAGCAAAAAACCCAGCGGGACTTTTTTTTAAATAAAGAACAGTTTAAAATTATTAAAGTTACACAATAATTAACAACACGAAACAAATTAGAAATAGCATGGTAGCGATTACCATATAATTTCTAAGTTTCAGGCTTAATGAACATTTTTAAAGCATCATCAATTATTCCGGAAAAATTAACCGATGCTGCTGACTCCCCTAGATTATTCATAACACAAGTCCTCGGCGCATCTTTCCAAGCTGACTTAATTGGTCTAAAAATCACATACACGCACACGCACACAACCACACACGCACACTAACGCAAGTACCTACACACGCACACTTTCGCAAGTATACGCGTTTAATAATTAATTTTTAAAAAAAATTGTGTAATCTATTTTGGCCTAACTGTAATATATTATGTATTGTAAATACGACAAAAACGCTGTAGGATTACCTAAATAAAAAAAAATAAGCAAATTGTGCGGTCGGCGGGTTCCCGTCAGGAACAAAATTCAAGATAGGCTAACAGCATTAACATCACAGAAACTAGAGCGCCTGTGCTTACGCACAGATTCGTGAACTATAATCCTGCGCTGCGTAGATGGCTTGACTGCGTTGAAACTGGCCACCGTGATCGAAATACGGACCTTTAGTTACTTGGAGGAGTATTATTATTATATTATCTAAGCCGGCGACGTGGAGCAGAATCAAAGGCGCGAAACATCTGGAACTGCGATTTCTAAACCACTTGCCCTTTGATTAATACTTCATACTATAATTTAAGATTGTTTGAAATGTCCATCCAAAGGTAGTCTGTAAGAAATTGCCTTTAGCGATAAGACCGCCCATTTTGACATTTAAAATATTTATGAAATGATGGTCTTTTACGCGGCTTAAAGTAAAGTGAACTCGTCACAGAGTCCAATGGGACAGTAATCCGATACTAAAGGAGTGAGATCCAGTGCAGGGCCAGCGGTTATACGTGCTTCATGAGACAAGGGGATGAAACACTGCTAGGTTCCTGATTCCGGGCTGTTAGATACAATTTCTTAAGATAAAAACTCTATAACTGATTTTTGGCCCAACTCGGGATTCAAACCTAAGTCGACATAATCAGCAGTCGTGCTTACAGTCACTACACTAACAAGACAGGCAGATATTTTACGTTAGTCGTAAACGGGGTGTAAGAAAATATAAACAAAACAAAACAATCCAAATTATACAATAATATTTACTTTACTTAACTATTTCTCTACATCATTTGCAACGTCGTTATATACTAATTAAATATCGGAAAGCGTAAAAATTACGTTTAGTACACACTGTACATTATTTTAATCCAACATCATAAAGAAGATACTGCGAATAAAACAGCCTTTATTGTAGAGGCGAGCGTTATGTAAATAATATATTGTTCGTTAAAAGCTCCGGTTTAATTTCACGAGTCAACAGTTAGAGTGTTCAATGTAATTTATTGCCGGTGACCCATATTATTTGAGCGTAATACATGATTTTGTTTATTTTGCGAAAGATATATGTTCGCTAAAATATGCTGTATTGTTGTTCATTTTAATAGTAATTTGTGTATTGAGTACGCTGATATGCTTGATAATAAATATTTATTTTATTTAGTGTTGTCTATTAACTTTATTATATAACCTGCCTATTCTTTACCTATAAAACTTTTGGGCGAATAGTAGATTTTGCTTGTATCGTTTCGTATACATCATAACTTCTCCTGGTTTGTAGTAAATTACGTATGAACACAGTGCAAGTGTGGTTTTTAAAATTTTAGTCAATATATATAATTTCCGTACTGTAAGCACGTTAACTTCCCTGAATAAACTTGTAGTTGAGAAAAATTTTGGCTTATAAAGTGCAACATTTAAAATCATTCATTGAGCTCTTTCCAATTCAAGCACGTGTGTTTTATAGGAACCTCCTCAAACAGTAATACCATAGGTTAATATAGATTCGCATAAAAATGTATAAACAGTTTTTAGCAAAGTCCAGTTTGTAACATGTCTTAAGTTTTTTTTAAATGTAAGTATTTTTATTTTTATTTATTTATTTATTTACACACACATACAACATACACAATCATTACAGGGTGAGTACCCTAATTCGACAGTGTAGCCAACGATACAATATGATATGCCATTTTACTGAGCTCACTCAGCGAACATGAAAATAAATCAGTTCGCTCCGACATGGTGTTGATCACACGCAGCGCGCGCGTGAACGGTGCTTGCTGCATCAGTGCAGTACGCGCGTGTGGCACTGCCAGTAACGACGGCCGCCGCCGACGCCCCGCGCTTCCGTCAGGCGCATTCAGTCGCACCATCTCCAACACTCTCGGGCTGTGTATCCTACCCCTGAATACCTTCAACACGTACACAGCGAGAGTGACTTCTCTTCTGACTTCGAGCTTGAAGTACCCTACCATACCAAGTAAAAAAAGAGTAGGATACAACAAGGGATATCCTGGGTACACTCCGAATTGCTTTAAGTATAAGAATCTAATAAATTTATTTTGGATCCGCTCTAACATATATTTGTATTTGGCTTCATGAGGAGCCCAAATGACGGCGTTACACTCTAAGTGGCTCCTTACGAGTGTATCGTATAGCGCTCTCAGAGCCCCGACATTAGTGAAATTATTTGCAAGGCGCATTATCAATCCGAGATTACGGTATGCCTTTATACATACATTATTTACATGTGATCTAAAGTTTAATTCTGCAGTGAAATGTACACCTAGATCTCTAACCTCCGTTACTCTATGAAGCATCTTCCCGTCCATCATGTATGGCTGATGAATTGGGGCGCGTGAGCGGCAAAAGGACAGCACTGAGCATTTAGAGATATTAAAAAAAAGTTTATTATCTATGCTCCATTCTAAAACTTTATCAATATCATGCTGTAAAGAGTCACAATCATATTTATCTCTAATTTTTAAAACTAATTTTAAATCATCAGCAAACAGTAATGAAGTACAAAAATTTACTACATTGGGCAAATCATTTATCATTAAAATAAACAGCAAAGGTCCTAGATTGCTGCCTTGACTAACACCAGATCTAGTAGGGTAGGGTCGAGAAAAGTGCCCATTGCAATCAACAAACTGATGCCGGTCTCGCAGGTAACTGGTGAAAAATGATAGCGTGCGAGGTGTGCAGCCCACACAAGCCAACTTACAAAGTAAAACATCATTGTCGACCGTATCGAAAGCCTTTCTAAAGTCGAAGTAGGCTACGTCTACTTGCAGGCCAGCATCAACCGCGGGTACTAGATGCGTCATCAGCTCCATTAAGTTCCCAGTTGTCCCCCGCCCAGGGCGGAAGCCGTGCTGCGCGTCGGACAACTGTGCACTAATCTGTGGGTACAGGCAGTTGTAAATAGCCGTCTCGAACACTTTCGCTGGAGTGCTTAAGACTGCCACGGGTCTGAAGTCACTTGGTGTCGATCCCCCACTACCTTTCGGTACAGGCACAACTCTAGTGAGTTTCCATTGATCAGGAAACGTAGCGCTTTCAATACAGAGATTGAAAATGCGTAACAATGGTTTCACTAGTACTGTCCTACAATCCCTAAATACGAAGGCTGGTATGCCATCTGGTCCTACTGAACGCTTCGAAGGAAGGTGCGCCAGCGCACGCAGAACATCAACTGGTCGCAGAGGCTCGAGCTGAGCCCATGCGCCCGCAGCTGCTCCCGCCGCCGCAGCACCAGCCACCGTCGCGCTTAACAAAGGTGGCTCCTGGCTGTATACTGACTGGAAAAAATTTGCGAATTCTCTAGCACATTCACTATCTGATAAAACCTTTTTATCCTTCAATAGTTTTCTACTTCCCGATGTACCTTTTCGCAATCTTATATACTCCCAAAAGGCTTTAGGCTCCGATGCTAAATGTCCTTGCACACGGTCTCGATATAGGTTAT